CATCACTGTAATGTCCATGTCTTTCTTTTTTTTTATTTAAAAATTTTTATTTTATGTGCATTGGTGTTTGCCTGAGTATATTGTGTGGGGGTATCGGATCCCCTGGAACTGGAGTTACAGACAGTTGGGAGCTGTCATGTGGGTGCTGGGAATTGAACCTGGGTCCTCTGCTCTTAACCACTGAGCCATCTCTCTAACCCCATCTGTTGTCCTTCTATCCTACCTCAAACAAACATGAACCTCAAAATAATGCTGTACTGTGGGAGAAGGGCACCATTCCACAGCCTCTAAGGCAATGTGGTTCTCAACCTGTGGGTCTCAATCTCTGGGGGGAGGGGAAGAAGCGAATGGTCCTTTCACAGGGGTTGCCTATCAGATATTTACATTATGATTTGTAACAGTAGCCAAATTATAGTTATGAAATAGCATGAATAATTTTATTGGGGTCACCACAACATGAAGAACTGCATTAAAGGTTGCCAATGTTAAGCAGGTTGAGAACCATTGAGGCCTGGAGACTTGTCTGAGGTCATCCTGCCTGCTAGACATGGTCGCTCAAGCTTGTAACCTCAGCACTGGAAAGTAGAGGCAGGAGGCCAGAGGTTCAAAGTCACAGTGGCTACATAACGCTTTCATGTTGAGGCTGGGTTACAAGAGACCCTGTCTGAAAATTTTTCTAAAAGTACCCAGCCTTGGGGTAGCTGCAGGACTCTGAGCGTGTTCCTTGACTTGAGTGTCTACATGAACCTGATCTTCAAGTAATGCATGATGATTGCAGACCCAAGCATTTCTTCATTGCTCCTTGTATCAAGAATTTTGGTAATTTTTTTTACAGCTGCTTCCATCCAAACCTTAGATTAGGACAAGTCTTACTGTGGCCGATAGACTTCAGTGAATTTGGCGGTGGGCTAGCTCTGCATGTGGGGTCCAAAGTCTTGAATGCTTCTGGTTTGTTTGTTTGCTTGTTTTAAAATAGAACCGGGCATCTACATGAGAACAGAGGGGTGAGATGCCATAGAGAGAAGCAGGATGTCCCAATCAATGACTCGGTCACCCACAATGATGAGAACAGGAGGTAGAAATTGTTTAGACAGTTCAGGATGAAAAGTCTCTGAAGAAAGCCAGGCAGTGGTGGTACATGTCTTTAATTTCAGCTGAGGCAGGGAGATTTCTATGAGTTTGAGCCCAGCCTGATCTACAGAGCGAGTTCCAGGACAGCCAAAGCTACACACAGAGAAACCCTGTCTTGAAAACCAAAACGAAACAAAAACCAAAAAGTCTCCAAAGAAAAGTAATCAGTTTATTTCTGGGCTAAAGCTAGAAGATCTTTGGTCCTCTTGGTAGCTTCATTCTTGCCAGAGGCCAGAGATGCCCAAAATGTTTTAGGGCTCTAAGCTGACTCTTCAATGGTTTCAGGGTTACCTAGATCATGAGATCATTAATTGACCCAGAACAGACAGGCTATCAGGATTCAATAAGCATGGACTTACTTTCTTTCCCCCTTGTTTAAGGATGAATTTCTTGTTTGGTGGCATTGACTTATACAAAAATGCATGTAGATATACTGGCATGTGCTTAGACTCAGTAGTTACCTGACATCTCAGAAGAGACAGATGATCAATGCCTGAGTGTGAGTCCCAAAGCCAATAACATAATAAAAACCTTGCCTTTGTTTGGAGCTGAGGATGTGGTTCACTTGGAGAAGTACTTGTCTGGCATGGACAGAGTCTTAGGTTGAATCACCAAAACTGCCTACACTGGGTGGCGTTGAGCCCAGCACTTGGGAAGCTGAGGCAGAGTGTTACTGCTCTAGAGGCAGTGGGACTTGGGAGAATGGAGCCGAGAAATGGGGCAGACTAAAGTCTCATGCAATAAACAACTTTATTCAGAGCATCAGACAATGTATACTCTGAGGGTTAAAGAGGAGTCACATGAGTAAATTGTCCAATCACGAGGGTGAGCCGCATGTAATAAACAAGCCACACTTGGCACAAATATGTTTTTCCATAGAGGCATATAAACTACTAACAATAGCCTGTTGTAATGAATAATCTGAAGTAAATTCACTCCTATTTGCTACACCTATAAGAAGCATGAAAACATAATCCAAGAACAATCCTGTGTTTTTGAAGAAACTGAGGTCATAAGACTCTTGTCTTAGTTTCTTGGAGTTTTCTCACTAGCCCTCAGAAGTCTCCCAGGACTCCATTCTTGGACCATGTTCCGGCAGCAGAAGATCAAAAGGTCGCGGTCATTCTTGGGCTCGTAGCAGATTCAAGGCCAGCCTGGGATTCACCATATCTTAGAGAGGATGGGAGGGTGGGAAGGAGGAGAGAAAGAGAAAGAGAACTCATAGAGAACATGGCCTATGGGCTGTAAGATGCTCAGCAATTAGGATGTCCACACAAAATTTGCCTTTCAAGTATGCTCGGTTTATTCACATAAACCTTCCTTAAAATATCATGTTAATATAAAAGTTAAACAGGCATCTCACCAAATGGGAAACAGTTGTTTGGGTAGAACTGCTACTGCAGGGTTCCACAGGGGACACTTCTTTGTGAGGACACTTCAGAAGCTTGCAGGCCCGACCCATGTCAAATGTCAAGTCCTTCAGCTGTGGTAGACTGGAAGGATGGCATTGATGGAGGTCCAGGAGGTCCTTGAGAGAGCGTAGGCCAACAGCCAGGGCTGACAGGCTGGCTTGTGTGGGCCGGCAACAGTGCAGAAGTTCAACAGCCATTGTGAGGCCCGGGCCTCACACAGAGTCTCAAGTCCTTGCCAATCAAAACAGGCTAGAGAAGTGGTGTCAGGTAAGCCCAGCAGTGAGAATCTAGAGACCATTCCCATGTTGTGAGGTAACTCCTTCAGAGAACACAGGGACTCTTAAAGCCAGTAGAAAGTTCTTTATTTTGCCGGCTGGTGGGCTACACGGGGAATTTGCTCAAAGCGTACAGTCCTGAGTGTCACCGGTCTTTGCTTTTTAGGCACAAAAGGCACATCCTGGTTGACATAATTTGGTTAGCAAGAAGAAGCTAAACTAAAGAAGCCAAAAAGCAAGGTTAGAACATTTCCTGGAACTGTGGAGGTCTTGGAAGGTCTTTGAAGGAGTAGGTCTTTGTTCCCACTTTTTAGGTCTTTTTGTTCCCACTTTTTGGCCGGTGTTGGGGCTTATGTGTGGGGTTGGGTTCTGAGGTCAGAATGGTGCCTTGAACATGGTGTCAGTGTTAACATCAAAGGTGGGAGGAGAAAGACCACTGACCCAAATCGTGATGGCCAAATTAATTAAAGCAAGCAATTAATTAAAGCAAGTTTTTTTTATTCGTTTACACAGGCTGCCTCCAAGACAGGGTTTGAGAGGTCAGCATTGGATGTGAGGAAGACCAGGTTTTTATAGAGCTCAGGGGTAGGGGGTTTCCAAATAGGGGATTTGGTGGGCAAAATAGGCGGGGTTACAGGAGCAGGACATGAGCATAACAAGTTAGTCCCTCCTGAAACAAAGACATGGTTCCAAAGGCGGACATAACAACAGGTAGTCATAACAAGGCAGCTATAACAAGCCTTTTGAAGCAGAGGTAGGGTTGCAAGATGGTCATAAACAACATTTTGAAGTGAAGGCATGATTGCCATTCCTGGAATAGGCAGTCCAGAACCATTTGGAGTTAAGGTTACAGGTGGGACATCACTCAATCCTCAAAGTTCCAGCTTCTGTATCATTTCATTGACAGTAGCTTTGTGCCCTCAGGGCTCACAGCTTGGGGCTGGTTCACTAGCAAATCAACACCATCTTGGGGTCAGTTCATTAATATCAAGGCTTGTCCTGGACTACCAGTGGCCTGTCTGGAGCTTGCTTCTGAAGCCTAGCTCTTACCAGAGCTGCCTGGGGGCAAGCTTAGGCACACAATATTCCAAGTCACACCAAATGGCTTTTGAGTTACACAAAATGGTTTCTAAGCTATTCCCCTCCCCCCCGTCTCTCTCACCTCTCACACACACACAGAGAGAGACAGAGACACACATACACACACACACACACACACACACACACACACACACACACACACAGAGAGAGAGAGAGAGAGAGAGAGAGAGAGAGAGAGAGAGAGAGAGAGAGAGAATGAGTTTGTTTTCCTTTATTTGATCTCTGGAAGTCAAAGCTGTGAATAGTTCTGTAATGAATCTGTAGTCAGAGGTTCCCTCCCACCTCTTGACCGATCATTCTTCCTTTGCGGTCTGATCAGTAGGAAGGGAATGGGCACCATCATGCAGTGTGGGAATGGAGACTTGCTATTTGCATGCTCTGCTTTCTTGGGATTTGTCTCTGCCTGAAGACAAAGGTTAGCAGGGAAAGATGTTCTCTTTTTTCTGGCACGCAAGTGGGGGGAGTGGTCAGTGGTGGTTCACACCTTTAATCCCAGCACTTGGGAGGCAGAGGCAGGTGCATCTCTGAGGTCGAGGCCTGCTGTGGGATGGTCTGTATGTGCTCTGATTGGTCAATAAATAAAACACTGATTGGCCAGTGACCAGGCAGGAAGTATAGGCGGGACTAACAGAGAGGAGAACTGAGAGAACAGGAAGGTGGGAGGAGACACTGCCAGCCACCGCCATGACAAGCAGCATGTGAAGATGCCGGTAAGCCACGAGCTACGTGGCAAGGTATAGATTTATAGAAATGGATTAATTTAAGATGTAAGAACTAGATAGCTAGAAGACTGAGCCATTAGGCCAAACAGTTTAAATAATATAAGCGTCTGTGTGTTAATTTTATAAGTGGACTGCTGGGGCTTGGTGGGACCTGGAGAGAAGCTCTCCAGCTACAAAGGCCAGCCTGGTCTACAGAGCGAGTTCCAGGACAGCTGGGGCTATACACAGAAATCTTCTCTTGAAAAAACAAAACAAAAGGGGTGGTGGTTCAGGCTTGGCATTTTTGTGTGTGTGTGTGTGTGTGTGTGTGTGTGTGTGTGTGTGTGTGTGTGTGTGTGTGTGACTGGGAGGCACGAGAGATGTACTTTCCTGTGGCTGCCCAGGCAAGATGGGGTTTACTGAACACCTGGAATGTGGCTGATACAGCGATGTTTATGAATGTTAAAATGCAGAGTAAATTTCAAAGAAATTAGCAGCAAATAAATAGGTATTTTGTTAATAAAAATGAAAATGTACTTGTATGTATATTTTGCAGAATCATGTTATAGAAAATACAAGGAATTTTACTCATATCCATTTGTTGTTTATGTTTTCTTTGGTTTGTTTTAGAGTCCTGAATGAAGATCTGCTCCCAAACCCTCCATCACCACCACCCACGAACTTTACCTGTTCCTTTTAATGTTCTCATGTGGTTTCTAGAAAATTTAAAGTTACAGATGTGACCCTTCATTCATTTCTATTAGCTAATATTATTATTTATTATTATTTCTATTAGTCTTAAAGGACGGCCTTCCTTTCAAAGCCTAGGCTAACTCCTTGTATTTGTCAGGGTTCTCAAGAACACTGATTCTCAACCTGTGTGTCGAGACTTCTTTGGGGTTGCATATCAGATATTTACATTATAATTCATAACAGTAGCAAAATTACAGTTATGAAGTAGCAAGGAAATAGTTTTATTGTTGGGGTGGTGTTTATTTATTGTTTCTCAGCACAACATGAGAAACTGTATTAAAGGGCCGCAACATTAAGGAGGTTGAGAACCACTGCTCTCCACGAACAGAACTGATAGTATATATAATTTATTAGAGTGGCTTGTGGTTTACAGACAAGTTCGACAATAGCTGTCTCCCAAAAGAAAGTCCAAGAATCTAATAGTTGTGCAACCCATGAGGCTGGATGTCTCAGTGGTCTTCAGTATACATTGGAATCCCAAAGAAGTAGGGTCTAAATGCCTCAGCAGCAGGGTAGAGGAACTTGCCAGTGAGATTGAGGGCAAGCAGGCAAAAGACAAACGTTTCCTTATTTCGTGTCCTTTAATACAGGCTGCCACCAAGGTGTGGCTCAGATTTAGGGTAGGTCTTCTGACCTCAAAGGATCCAGTCAAGAAAAATTCCCTCACAGGCATGCCCGGCTGCTTGGGTTTTAGTTGATGTGTCAAGTTGACAACCAAGATTAGCCATCACACTCCTCAAACTAGGAAGATTATAACATCTAAATTTCTAAAATGAGGGCTGTGGCTCGGTTGGCAGAGTCCATGCCTAGCATGCGAGAAGCCCTCAGCTGGTCCCTGGTGCTGCATAATCATTCATAGCGGCACATGTGCCATCCTAGCATTCAAAAGATGGAGGAACCGTTGAGGGTTCAAGGTTGGCCTGAACTGTATTTGAGGCAAGCTACATGAGACCCTGTCTCAAAGTATTTAGAAGAAAAATTGTAAACCGTTGTCATATTAGTAATTTCCAGTTGTGAATAGCATGTGTATATTTACGTTATTAACTCATGGCTATTCCTTCAAGAGCAAGCGTGTCCTGGCAGGGCCATCACTAGTGTGCAGAGGAGACCTGTCCCCCAGTCTGTTTAGTCAGGGGTTGCATTACATACACCCTTTGTCACTCAAGACTTGGGGGCGTGTCCTAGGCCCTGTCTATTAGAGTAGAATTGTCCAATCAGGCTGCAGCTGGAGGAGAGGGGCGGAGCAGATTGCTGCACTCTCGCGGTGTTTGGTTCTTTTTACTGCTCAGTTTTGGCTTGGGTTCTGCTTCTTCAGCTTCTGTGTCTTTAGCTCACCGTAGTCTAAGGTGGCTCCTCTGGAGCTAGTGTCCCCGTGAGGTGCAGACGACGCGGGACGCCCGAAATTCGGAAATGGTGAGCGTTCTGGCCGACGCTGGCCACATCCAACCAGAGCCAGCCTCGGGGAAGGCCTCCGTAGCTGGAGCCCGCGGCCCGATCCCGCTGCTGTCCCCCGGTCCTGAGTGGCCTGGGCGGCGGGTCCCCGCGCGTCCCATCGGCCCCCGCGGCGTCCTGGCCGACCCACCTCAGGACTTGGGGCGCTGGCTTCTCGTTGTGCTTTCCTGAGGCATGGGAAGCAGGGCATCAGTCCACTTTCTGTCAGTCTGGCTGCTCCCGGGGTTCACAGCGAACCCCCCAAATTCCAGCTCCTTCCTGTTTCAAGAGTCTGTAGGGCAAACCCCAGCTCGTCTTGGCCACCCGTCCCGGTATGCCGGTTAGAGAGATGGGTAGTGGGGGAAAGCCGGGAGTGGAGATTTCGTCAGTGTGGGTCCGGTGGGAAGAGGGACAGATGAAGGGTCCAGTGACATCTGCTGTCCCGGTTCATCTTCAGCAGGAGCTTCAGGCTTAAACCGAGGAAGGCCAGACCAGAAGCAAGCTTAAACAGCAGCCTCATCCCAAGTGTGGCTCCGCCCATCATTGTCTCGGCTCACTTTAGACCTCTAGGGGACTAGGTGGCTCGCTGGAGATAACTTCTGCTTCCGTGAGGTTTCTTCTTCCTTCAGCCTTGAAGATGAAGTAGGTTAGACAGACACTACTTGAAAGATTACATGCTTAGGTTGAACCAAAAAAGGAGGTAGTAGGCCCAGAGTGAAGGCAGAGATGTCAGGCTTTCATCCCGCTTTTATTCATGTGTGTATGTTTGCACACGTGTGTGGGTGTCTGTGGGGTCGGAGGAGGGTCTCAGATTCCCTGGAGCTAAAGATGTAGGCAGTTACGAATTGCCCAAAGTGGCTACTGGAAATTGAACTCCAGTTCTCTGCAAGAGCAGCAAATGCTCTTAACCCCTGAGCCATCTCTGCAGCCCCCCAAAGCAGTTCCTAAGTGCCGGCTTCACTCGCAGTATTCTCAAATGCCAACTTCTAGTCCAGGAGGATTAAAAAGTGACAACCATTGCTGTTTATTTTCCTTGCTAAATACGTAGAACTGGACACAATGTTTTTCATGTCCTCTTCGTAATGGTCCCAGGTTTCAGAACTGCCAGGGGCTGACAAGTTTCTTAGAGCTGCCGTATGTCCTCTTAGACACCAGTCCGAGGTCTTGGGTGAAACCTCTCAGGAGCAGCTGGAGGCCCTGGGGCTGGAGGAATCTCCTGGAGTCATCCCCATCTCAATAGTTAATTTTTAGAGACATTCTCTCCCCCTAAGCTTAGTTGGAGTCCTAGGACACATTGTTTAGTTAGATGCTGGTGAATGAGGGTCTGCAGAGTAGTATTTCCTGCCCTCTTGAGTCTCCCAGTTGTTCAGGGAGGAAACTTTCTCCCAAGGGATTAGAAAGACAACTCCACTACAGCGCAGTGGGGCAGAGACACGCAAAGCAGAGTAAGTGTGCGTGGGTCACAGTCCGGAGCCTCCCGAAGAGGGGACTGTTGAATATTTCAGCAGCACTCGGCTGAGAGAATGGCCTTATTTGACACTTGATCCTGACAGGTCTGTGTCGTCTTCAGAACTGCCCCTTTCCCATGTTCATCAGCCTGAAATATTTGTTCATTTATTTGAACTTCAGCTTTAAGTATGAAATGTACTCAGAGCTGAATAAGGTTAAAATTTTTGTTTGTTTTTTCTGAGACATGGTCTCTCTGTATATCCCTGGCTGTCCTGGAACTCACTCTGTAGACCAGGCTGGCCTCAGTCTTAGAGATCTGTCTGCCTCTGAGTGCTAGGATTAGAAGTGTGCACCCCCTCACTCCCCCCCCTCACCCCCCCCAGCAAAGTAAACTATTCTTTTTTTTATTTAATTTAATTTTATTTTACAATATAATTTAGTTCTACATAACAGCCATGGATTCCCTTATTCTCCTCCCGCCCCCCTCCTCTAGTAAACTATTCTTGAAGCTAGAAAGATTTCATAAAAAAGTAGAGTTTCATTTCCACTGATTTTTTTTTAATTTTTTGCTTCCCCTGAGCATATATAGAAAAATTCCTGAGATCTCATGTCAAGGTGTGGGTGTGGAGATCAGAAGACATCTGTGGAAGTTAGAAATTGAACTCATACCATCAGGTTTAGAGGAAGTGGCTTACCTGTGGAACCATCTTGCTAGCCCAATCATTTGGTTTATTTATTTATTTATTTATTTATTTATTTATTTATTTATTTTTATTTATTTTTATTTTTTGGTTTTTTGAGACAGGGTTTCTCTGTGTAGCTTTGCGCCTTTCCTGGAACTCACTTGGTAGTCCAGGCTGGCCTCGAACTCAGAGATCTGCCTGGCTCTGCCTCCCGAGTGCTGGGATTAAAGGCGTGCGCCACCACCGCCCGGCTTATTTTTTTATTTTAAGACATGGTCTCACTATGTAGCCATGTCTGTCCTGGATCTTACCATGGGGTTCAAGGTGTACACTACCACACCCAGCCTTTTATTTTACTTCTTGATTATATGTATGTGTGAGTTTCTGTATGAGTACAGTGCCTGTGGAGGCCAGAAGGTATTAGATCCTCCTGAACTGGAGTTACAGGTGGTTCTGAGCTCTCTGGTGTGCTAGAAATCGAACTTACAAGAATAGTATGCATTCTTAACTGCTCAGCCATCGCTCCAGCCCCTCATTGATTACTTTATTACAAATCCATTGTTGCCTCCTCAGTTTCTCTGGGTTGATACAGGCTACCTTACTCTTCAAAGTGAAAGGTTAAGTGATTGACTTTAAATCTTCAAGAATGTATGGATTTGATGCTTTAAACTTTTCCTGTACTATATTCCACAGATTTTCATATGACGAACTTAAGTTTCTTTTCCTTGAACTATTCAGGTTCCTTCAGATGACTATCTGATTCACATGCGATTTTGTACTTTGTGATTTTATTTCCAGTTTAGAGGCTTTCTTACTGTATTTGTTACTGATTTCTATTTAATGCTTATGTATTTTTAAAATATACTTTATGTACTTGCTTGTTAGGGTGTGTTTGATCACTCAGAATGTGATCTACCATTTAGTTTTGCTGTGGACTGAAGTGTTCTAGAAATATTAATGAAATCCTTCTGGTTGATGTTGTTCAATAACAATATTACTATTACTGCTTTTTCTGGCTACTGGATCTGTCAATTACTGATAAGGAGTATTTTGGTGTTTTTAACTGTAATTATGAATTTCTCCATTTTGCATTTCAAATCCTAGAAGTGTTCCCTATGTAATTTGACATCTTATTTTATGTTACATGTATTAAAGACAGCTGATTATTTAAAAAGTCTTATTTAGTGAGTATAGCATTTATTGACTGTAGTGTCAAATGTTTATCAAAGATAGTTTGTCTCAAATTTTTTCTTCATTGTTTCTCTGTACTTGGCATTTTTTTCCTTAACTGAAAAATGGACATTTGAAAATTATAATATGGGATAACTGAAAATCAGTTTCCCCACTTTCTCTGTTATCTGTTCTTAATTATTGAAGGCTGTGTCCATTTATGTAATGAAAATACTGTCCAAAACATTTTCTTTTAAAATTTTTATTTTTCATTTTTTCTTTCCTTTTTTGTTTTTATTTTATCTATCTATCTATCTATCTATCTATCTATCTATCTATCTGTCTGTCTGTCTGTCTGTCTGTCTGTCTATCTATCTATTTATTTATTTGAGACAGGGTTTCTCTATGTAGCTTTTAGAGCCTGTTCTGGAACTCACTTTGTAGACCTGGCTTGCCTTGAACCCACAGAGATCCACCTGCCTCTGCCTCCCCAGTGCTGGGATTAAAGGCATGCACCACCACCACCCGGCTCTGTTTTTCATTTTTTTAAAGACAAGGTCTCACTATGTAGCCTTTCTGGCTGGAACTCACTATGTAGACCAGGTTGGCCTGAAGCTCATAAAGATCTGTCTGTCTCTGTCTCCTGAATGCTTGGTTTTTTGACACAGGGTTTCTCTATGTAAACAGTCCTGGCTGTCCTGGAAGTCACTTTGTAGACCAGGCTGGCCTCAAACCCACAGAGATCCACCTGCTTCTGCCAAGTGCTGGGATTAAAGGGTGTGCACCACCATTGCCCAGCAAAAAATTACTTTTATTTTATGTGAATGGGTATTTTTTTGACTGCATGTATGTTTGTGTACCACATGCATGCAGTGCCCTTGGAGGCCAGAAGAGGACATTAGGAATTCTAGAACTGGAATTATAGATGGTTAACTGTTAGCTGACATGTGGGTACTAGGAATTGAACCTGGGACTTTACAAGAGTCACAAGTGCTTTTGAAGTGCTTAGCTATTTCTCCAGCTGCCATTTCCAAAATATTGCAGAGACTGTATTGCTTATGTGTAGTCAGTTTGTTCTATTGGCCCTTATTTTTTATTCAACCAGTATTTTGACATATTTCTGTGAATGTCATATATTAAAACAGAAAAATTAGAAGAAACAGCAAAAGGTCACCTCTTTCAGTTTTTCTTTGGGGCAGGGGTGTAAGAGGACATTCCTTTAACACATAATCAGGTTGGGTTTTTTTGTCCTTAAAATTTCTTGGGATGCATGGAGCTTTCTCAATTTCACATTATACTTGGGTACTTTTGAATAATTTCTGAATGAAATTTTCACTGCGACTTTTCCCCCCAGAGTTTATTTAGATGTTAATGTACATGTTGTGGATATAAGCAGCAATTTATTTTTCCAGGTAGATGTAGGCTTTTTGTTTACTTGATGCAAAATAAGGTCCACTCTGCTCCTACACTGTGGAACTTAGACTGTTGTTTTAAGACTGTTAGCATATCAGAGACAGGTTAAACCAAGGATGAGAAGCTACACAAGGCTTTCTTGCCATTTTCACGTGTTTATAGGTTTACATTCACAGGGTTGAATTTTGAGAATATTTAATTTTTAACGAAGTTGTTTCGATGGTTCTGCTTGTACTTTCATGTATCTGTGGAGGCATGTGTGTTTGGAGCATCCCACAGCCATTTTCCTGACCTCATTCTCCCTGGAATCTGTGGATGTTCATTTACATAATGATGTTCTTTGTGTCATTACTTATGTGTTATTACATAACGATCTTGATTACTGTTGCTTTAAGAGGCAAGTTTTGACATTAAGAAGCCCTAGTCTTATTGTGTTCTTTCTCAGGATTCTTGTAGTGCTGAATAATTTCATATGAAAATTTGCATTAGTTTTTCAATTCCTCTAAGTTAGTTACCCAGGATTCTAATTGTTCTTAGTTACTCTAATATTTGTTTTTAGAATTTCTCCCAAATCCTGAGGTCCCTGATAAACACCAGCAAAGGTCCAATTTTGTGAGTAGTCACTTCTAACAATAAGAACTCCCACAGTACAAATATTAGCATTGTTTTGTAGAGCAGACAGTAGGGTTTATTAGTAACATGTATTGGAGATATACTATACAATGATAAATTAGGGATAACCAAGAAATATCTTACTCCCTGGATTTACCAATGAGAAGGGTGTTTTTACTCTGCTATTGCTTTCTGAGTGCTTCAATTGAATTATAATATTAATACAGCTGTATGTGAACAACTAAGTACATAAATTTTTAGAGGACCAAATCATGGAACGAATATTTGGAAATCACAAAATCATGTGAACATCTACACACAGAGTATAGATTCCTAGTGGTATAAGTTTTACCCAGCCTCCAATACACATTGTGGGATATTTTAGAACTCAGTGGCCTTTGACGATGTGGCTATAAACTTCACCCAGGAAGAGTGGGCTTTGCTGGATACTTCCCAGAAGAATCTCTACACAGATGTGATGCAAGAAGTCTTTAGGAACCTGAATTATATAGGTAAGAATGATAACATTTCTTTACTTAATTAAAAAAAAAAACACCCTAGGAATTTTTTATCAATTTGAAATGTGGAAAGGGACTAATTTTTTTATGAATAAATGGGCATATTTTCAGTGTACAGTGAACTTCAAAGCTGCTATTAATTTTTTGAAGTTCATAATTAATAGTGCTTTTCCTCGGTCTATATTTTAGAGAACGGGTGGGAAGACCAGAACATTGAGGAGGACAAAAATCCTGAGATAAATCTAAGGTAATTTGTATTCACAAAAGGGTATGATGTTCCTTGAGGGAACGTTAGCATGTCATGTAAACTTTGGTAAACAAACTAAAGAAATAAGCACAACTTTAAACATTTATTACTAGCTTGTTTGCGTGCTGTCTCTCTCTCTCTTCAGTTTAACAGAGTTTTATATATTCAAGGTAGTTGACTTCCACATAGTACTAAGAAACTATATGAACATCACTGTTTTGATAATGGATTTGGGGAAGCCATGTTTCAGAGAGATTATTCCATTTATTTTCTAATAATTAAGACATGCCAAGACACCTAGACTTCCTCTGATATTGGTTATAATGTAGGTCTAAGACATTATTGAATAGAAAATCAGTAATAAACCATTAATGATGTGCTTGTCTTTTTGTACAGAATACATATGATAGGTTCTGTAAAAGTAAAGATTGTAAAAGTCAATGTGGGCAAACTTTCAGTGAGAATTCCAAATCTTTTGTTTGTTTTGTATTTGGAGACAGGGTTTCGCTGTGTAGCCCTGGCTGTTCTGGGACTTATGCTGTAGACCAGGCTAGCTTCAAACTCAGAGATCCTCCTGCCTCTGCATCCCAAGTGTGTGCTACCATTGCCTGGCTAAGATTCTGGGGGGAAAAAAAAAGAGTTCACAGTTGCGTAAAACCATGTAAATGTGACTTGTCTGGAAAAGTCTTCATATGTTGTTCATTCCTTAATAGGCACATCATAACTGACTCTGGATACAACCTATATGAAAATCAAGAATATTCAGAGAAGCCATATAAATTTACACAATATAGGAATTCTTTCATTTCTCTTATGAGTATTCAAAGACATATGACAATGGACACTGGAAGTAAACCTTATAAATGTATGCTATGTGGGAAAGCCTTTCATTTCCCCAGTGAATTTAGAATACATCTAAGAACTCATACAGGAGAGAAGCCTTATGAATGTAAACGATGTGGGAAAGCTTTCAGTCATTCCAGTTCCTTTAGAAAACATGAGAGAACTCATACAGGAGAGAGGCCCTATGTATGTAAACAATGTGGGAAAGCCTTTAATTGTTCTGGTTCCATCCGAAAACATGAAAGAACTCATACCGGAGAGAAGCCCTATGAATGTAAACAGTGTGGAAAAGCCTTCAATTGTCCCAGTTATCTTCAAATTCATGAAAGAAGTCACACTGGAGAGAAGCCCTATGAATGTAAACAGTGTGATAAGACATTCAGTTGTTCCAGTTCCCTTCGAAAACATGAAAGAACTCATACTGGAGAGAAGCCTTATGAATGTAAACAGTGTGGTAAAGCCTTCAGTTGTTCCAGTTCCTTTCGAAAGCATGAACGAACTCATACTGGGGAGAAGCCCTATGAATGCAAACAGTGTGGTAAGGCCTTCTTTTCTCTCACAAGTGTCCGAACACACATGATAAAGCACACTGGCAATGGGCCTTTTAAATGCAATGTATGTGAGGAAGTGTTTCCTTTTTCTAGTGTATTTAGAAGACATCAAACATCTCATGCTGGAGAGAAGCCCTATGAATGTAAACAATGTAGTAAATGGTTTAGTTCTTCCACTTCACTTCAAATACATGAAAGAACTCATAATGGGGAAAAACCCTTTGTGTGTAAGCAATGTGGTAAAGCATTCAGTTGTCCCAGTTACATTAGAAAACATGAACGAACTCATACTGGGGAAAAATCCTATCCATGTAAACAATGTGGCAAGTGGTTTAGTGCTTCCAGTTCTCTTCAAATACATGAAAGAATTCATACTGGAGAAAAGCCCTATAAATGTAAACAATGTGGTAGAGCATTCAGTCGGTCCACTTCCATTCGAAAACATGAACAAATTCATACAGGGGAGAAACCCTATGAATATAATGTGGGAAAGCCTTCACTTCCAGTTGAAATTGATTACTAAATAGTCTTATGAATGTAAATTCTGGTAAACCCTCAAGTTCTCTCACAGGCTTTTGAATAAATACACTGGAAATGGACCTTTTAAATGTGAGTTATGTCAAAAGCCTTTCACAGTCCCAGGATATTTAGAGCACATCAAATAACTCATGCAGGAAAGAAACAAAGTGAATGTAAAAAATGTGGTAAATCCTTCACATCTTCTGGGTATCCTCAAAACCATAAAAGAATTCATGTTGGAGAGTATCCCTACTAATGAAAGCAATGGAGAATCATCTATTACAAATTGCCTTTATAAACATGAATGAACTCGTACTAGAGAAACATACTTTGAGTACAAATAAATATGGTAAATATCACATTTTCCCATTTGCCTTCAAAGAAACTAAAATATTCATTGGACAACAAGTCATCAGAAAGTGATTGTAAGGAATATGAAAAAAAGTTTTCTTGGTTCTTTTAAAGGACACAGAAAGACTGACACTGGATAATAACCCTGTGTATGTGAGAAAAATGGTTAAGGCTTCAGATGCCCCAGTTCTTTTAGATTATATGAAAGAATACGTACCAGATAAAACACTATGAATAGGAATGTGGGAGAAGTATTCAAGTTTTCAGTTTTCTTTAAAGACATTAAGTAGAGGGGGAAAAAAGCCTGTAGCTCTAAGCAATGTGGTTAGGCTTTCAATTTTTATAGTTCTTTTTGAAAACCATGGAAGAACTCTGGAGAAAAGGCTGAGTGTAAGAAATGTCAGAAGGCCTTCAATTTTCCCATTTTCATTCAATGACATGAAAGAACTCGTTTAGAAAAAGACTGTCAGGGACGCAGAAAGTCTCCCAACTTCATTTCTCATGGAAAGACACGTGATAATGCACACTGGAGATGGACATGCATTACACTGACTTTACAATGTGAAAACATTGCTTTTCTGGGTTAAAGCATGGAATGTGTCTTTATATTAGATACAATTTTGTAGTATTTTGTTGAGACTTTTTACAATTGTATTCAAAGAGATTTGTGTATCTTGGTATAATATATAATATAGTATTATTTAGTACATACAGTGTATGCATGTGTATATGTGTATCTGTAGGATACGTATAGTTTGTACATGAGTAGTATATATTATATAACTAGTTCATATGATATGTAATTAAAATATATGTAACCGCTATTTTACTACATAGTAGCATACTACATTGGTTATGCTATTGGAATCTTATCAATGTGTAGAATAAAGCATTTCAGTTACCCACACCACTCCCCATCCCCAGCTACTTCTTGCTCCAGGAGCATGGTTACCAGGATCCCCAATATTTAGCATCAGCATTCCATGGCCTGAGACTCCAGATGTTATCAAAATCCTCAACATCAACTGGGTGTGGTGGTGCACACTTTTAATCCCCAAACTGGGGAGACAGAGACAGAAGGGTCTCTGAGTTTGAGGCCAGCCTGGTCTACACAGTGAGTTCCACGACAGCGAGGGATATTAAAAAAAAAAAAAAATTTCATCAGACAAAGGAAAGTCCTATCCCCCCCCCCCCCACTTTTTTTTTTGTTTTGTTTTTGCAGACAGGGTTTCTCTGTGTAGTTTTGGTGCCTGTCTTGGATCTCGATCTGTAGACCAGGCTGGCTGGCCTCAAATTCACAGAGATTCGCTTGGCTCTCTCTCCCTAGTGTTAGAATTAAAGGCATGCACCACCACCGCCTGGCGTAGGAAGGTCTTACTCTACCTCTGGGAACATGGCTATCAAAGCTTTAGACTAGGTCCCTACAAAACTACCAGTATATGATCTACAAACATCCCTATCCACATCCTGTAGGATTACACATATCAAAGTTTTAAGCCCTAGCATCATCTTTCCTCTACTCAAGGGATGTAAGATGGTCTCTCATTTTACTCCTAGAAGAGATTGGACACCAGAATCATAATCCAAATGTTACCTTTCAATATCCCATAGTGCTTAGGGAAGATTTTCAGAGCAAATAAGACTTAAGAGATTCTGGAGGAAAAAAAAAAAAAAAAAAACCCTGGGTACTACTTGGGTTTATACTATGAGGCTTCCAGAAGGCTTCATCTAGGTCTCATACCCACAAAAAGTGGTTAAGAATGCTACATGCCCCAGTACCTACTTCATCTCACACCTAAGGAAGGTACCCTTTGTGTTTCAAAACCTAGATTCTGGGATTACCATGTCACACACCACAGCCTTATCTTACAGGACCTGGTGAAGGTTCCATGGCATCCTGTGACATCAAAACTGGCCAATGGTGCCACAATCCCACGCATCTCCTGCATTTATCTTGGGTTCCAAGGAAGGTCTTCACATGGCTGTGAAGTGTCAGCCCATGGCATCACCTATGTTTGTCCTTAGGTGAGGCTTGGATAGTTTTCAGTATTCTGTAGCACAACTAATGATAGTTACCACCAAAACATGTATCATTGTTCCAGCCTTTGATGCCTGAGAATCCACACACCTTTAGACGACTGTGTTCACTACATAATTATACAACTATTTTATGAAGTGTTGTGGTCCAGACTATCGGGATGCTCATGGACACTGCTGACATCAAGCAGAGATGAAGAAAACAGGCTGTGCTCAGGTGCAGGCTAAGATTGGAGTCTAGCGGGCACCCTACAAGGAACTGTACAGGGATGTGGGTAGAATTACAAGCAGAGAAAGTTTAATAAGAAGAGTACTTCCCAGAAGGGAGATGGGCCATAGCTGGGGAGAAAGATCAGAGGCTAACCAACATATCGGGATCTAATATATTATTTATACAGTGTGCTCTTCTTGTAAGTATGCTTAAGCTTCAGTTGGGGATGGGCTTTCCCTGAATTTTTTCCCCCTGGGTTGTTTCTATCACTGCTTCCTTTTATATACTAATTTATATAACATACTTTATATGTTCCGCTCTACTCTTCTGCCACAACTTTACTAAACCCGATGGCTATGGGGATCATAGATATTTGCGTATTTATTTCTCCATGTCTCAGTGGCCTTTCCTCTTCACCAGCTAAGTAACCACCCTAAGAAGCAGTAAGGGTATATAAATCTGGCTGTGACTAAGACACAGATTTCCAAACTCAGACCTATGTGATGAGAAATTCTGGCTGTGCTGCAGAGAGAAGTACAGCGACTTCTACTTGGGATCTTTGGTTGGACTCTTGGGAGAAAAATTTGGACAACCCGTGTATGGATGAGTAGCAGCTGGGCACAGGAACTAGTGTGGCAGGGTGTGGAGGATCACTCAGTGTCTGCTCCCTCTTAGACTGTTTTGGTTGCTTTTTCCAGTCTTAGCTCCGCAGAGGCATTTAGGAGAAATGCAACCACTTCTTGGGAATTTCCCACACGTGCTCTGGCAGATCATGCCTGGTGTGAGGAAACAGCTAGCTGGGTGTGGTCTATGGGTGAGTCATTATGATTGGAAGGCAGCTCCTCTATTCTCCCCACTGCAAGGCCTGCACACAGAGATCACATGAATAATTTCAGCCCCACAGAGGTCATTGTCTAAGCTTGTATGCACCAGCTGACAAGACAAAACCTGGCTCCATACAACACTTTGTCCTGTAGATCTGAGGGAAAATGACTCATCACTCTCCTGTCATGCCTTGTGAACATTGAGAAGAGAAAAAAGTGAAACCTGTCTACCTTGTCACCTCAGCAGGAAGGAAACAATACCTGATGATGGCCACTTTTTATTGCTGTGCTTAGTTTTGCATTTGTTCCATTCTCTTTCCCTCCATCACTCATACTCTTCCTGTGTGAATCTGCCAATTAGGTATGTTTCTCACAGGCAACAAACTGTTTTTTTTTTTTTCCAGACAGGGTCTCCCTACATAGCCCTGGCTGTCCTGGAATTCACTATGTAGCCCAGGCTGGCCTCAAACTCATAGAGATCCTCCTGTCTCTGCCTCCTGAGTGCTGGGATTAATGGCATGAGCCACCATGCCAGACCTTTGTTTGTTTGTTTTTTTTTCCTTTGAGATAGGGTCTCCTGTAGTCTCGATGGGCCTTAGACTTCTGGATTTATAGATATACACCATCATGCTTGATCTACTTAATACTGTGAATCAAACCCAGGACTTCATGCATGCTAGGCAAGCACTTTACCAAACGAGGTGCTTTACATCCCCTGCCCAGATGTTGCTTTCTTGGGACTGGGAAAATAATTGTTCGTAAAGTGCTCCTTATGTAAGCATGAGGACCTGAGTTTAGATCCCCAGCACTCCTGTAAAAAGCTGGATATGGCAATGGATGTCTGTAGTCCAGTGCTAGTGAGATAAAGAAAGGCAGATCCCTAGAGCTGAGTAGCTAACAACTGTAGCTGAATCAGTAAATTGTAAGTTCAGTGAGATACCCTGTCTGAAAAAAATAAGGGAGAAACAGTTGAGGAAGACACCCAGCATCAACCACTATCTATGTGGTTTCAGTGTTTCGGGAAGTAAGTAATTTTTACATGTTTTTGAGGCTAGTAAGTATCAGAGCCCGTCTTTATTCTGCATTAATAGGCATTTCATTTTATCTTAAGCTCTTAGAAGAAAAGGAAAGGATTCCTAGAATTCACTCTGTAGACCAGGCTGGCCTTGAACTCAGAAACCCTGCTTCTGCCTCCTGGGTGCTGGGATTAAAGATATGCACCACCACCGCCTAGCTGTTAAAGGCATTCATTCTTGGTGAGACATAAAAAGGATTACACAGTAGTAAGCTAAAGCTTCTTAAATGGGGGGCTAAGAACTTGCCATGGTTTTCTGACTGGGAATTGAACCTAGGACACTGTGATGAAGACACCAAAATCTAATCATAACTAGCAGGAAAGATGCATGGCTTTGGTGCCAAAAGAAAGCTAATGTCTATGAAATCTCTATTTTTATTTGACCAAGAACTATAATAGAATATTTTAAGTTTCTATTGTTGTGATAAAACACTGACCAAAAGCAACTTGGGGAGTGTCTCAGTCACTTTTCTATTGATGTGACAAAATGTCATGACCAAGGCAAATTATGAAAGAAAGCATTTGTTAGGGCTTACAGTTCCAGGGGATTAGAATCCAGAAGCATCACAGTCAGAATTATGGCAGCAGGCAGGCAGGCAGGCAGGCATGATGCTGGAGCTTATATCCTTTCTCAAAAGTAGGAGGCAAGGCTGGAGAGATGGCTCTGTGGTTAAGAGCACTGGCTACTCTGGAATTCCAGAGGACCCAGGTTCAATTTCCAGCACCCACATGGCAGCTTACAACTGTTTATAACTCCAGTTCCAGAGGACCAAACACCCTCACAGATAAATGTGCACATAAAATAAATAAAGTATATTTTTTAAAAAAGTAGGAGGCAAAGAGAGCTAACTGGGAATGAGATGGGCTTTTGAACCTTCAACACCCACCCCCAGTGACACACCTCCTCGAATAAAGCCACACTTCTTAATCCTTCCTGGATAGTTCTACCAATTAGAAACCAAGCATTCAAGTACACAAGCCTATGGGGACCATTCTTATTCAAACCACTACAGGAAGGAATGTGTTTATTCCATTTTATATTTCCAGGTAATAGGAACTCAAACAGGGAATCTGGAGGCAGGAACTGAAACAGAAGCCATGGAGAAACACTGCTTACTGGCTTGCTCTTCCTAGCTTGCTTAGTTTGGTTTCTTACAAACTGCAGTCCTACCTGCCCAGGGTGGTACCTTCCTCAGTGGGTTGGGCCCTCCCACTTCAATCATTGATCAAGAAAATGCTCCACAGATTTGCCCATGTACCAATCTTAGGTATTTTCTTAATTATGATTCTTTATTCTCAGATGTCTATAGGTTTGTGTCAAGTTGACAAAAGCTAACCAGTACACAGAGCAATATAGTTATATGAAGAACTCTGGCATACAAACCTTAATTATATTTATGACAAAATGCAGCAGGTTAAAGTAACCTGTTCATAGGCTAAATTAATCATGGGGAAGCTCTGGACCAAACTTTTCAAGTGAAATCAAGATCTAAGCTTTTATTTAGAGCTCACTCCACCCAATTCCTTTTCCTTTAGTCTCAAATGAGTTTAGGAATTAATTCTTAGATGTTCATTTCAGCTAGGACTGGATGAAATTAATAAAAGTTCAACCTAAAACTTTTTTTTTTCCCAAGACAAGGTTTCTCTGTAACAGCTTTGGCTGTCCTGGAACTCACTCTGTAGACCAGGCTGGCCTCGAACTCAGAGATCCTGCCTTGAGTGCTGGGATTAAAGGTAGGTGCCACCACCACCTGGCTCCTATCACAATTTATAAAGCATAGTAAGAAAAGAAGTCATAATAGAACTGTAACAACATACTATATAAGTTGTATGAATGTGATCAAAATATCTGCTTTCATTCAATTAGTATTTCTGGATCACAGCTGGATAATGTTGACAGTGGGGAATGGAAGCCGGACTGGTGGGGAGAAGGTTATAGCTCTCCTTCATATTAAATCAATAGTGATCTTGCTTGAATTTTGCCCATTTTTCGTATTCCATCTCAACTGTTTAGAATAGCTGTGGAACCCACTCATCACCCTTAGTCAGATTCTGATCTGAGTAGTGGGGGCTTATCTCCATTTCTGCAAATAGAGGTTAAATACCTTGGTCAGTAGTTGAGGCTGGACCCAGGAGCATTGGATTGCAGAGAGGAAGCGCTTCTTGGGATTAGGACGTTTTCCTTTCATTAAAGCTTTACAAGTGTTGGCATAACTAGGTGGAGGATATTTAACTGTCCATCCAAATAATCTTCCAAAAGATATTACTTCTTGTGAATAGCCATGTCACAATGGGAACATGTGCCAGTAAACTAAGGCTGTACCCATGGTGGTTGGGGCAACAGGAAGTTGCAAAGGCAAAATAAGGAGATTATATATCTCGAAAAACTAAGTTTTAGCTACAAGGATCAGCAACAAGAGTGGCAACAGTGCATGGCTGGACAGACAGCTACTGAGCAGAGGTCCTTACACAAGCATCAAATTGGGGCAGCCTTGGTGCAAGCAAGGGTTTTGGCAGTCTGTGAGGTAGATGAAGGGGCTCCTCCCCCTACACCTCCTTCCACTTCACATGGATTCTGGGGTTCAAACTCAGGTCAACAGATGTGCACAGCAAGCACCTTTATCTGCTGAGCTGTGTAACAGGGCCCCTCCTGGCTTGTTCATCTGACTGGGGACTGACTGTTATTTCTAGTTAGCATGGTCATGGGAGTACATAGTAGGTAATGTCTGTCACACATGGCCCAGGGTGTTAACTTTCCTTAATTCTGCAAATCTGGAGTAAGGAAGGCGAACTGCCCATTAAGTTGCTGAGCCAGTTGTGTAAAGTGTCTTCACATCAGAAAGGAGCCAGGGCCCCAGATACTACACCCCTGGCCAGGAGCTCAAAGGCAGCACCTGGGTAAGCTTATCTGCCTGCTTGTAGGTAGAGTTTTCCTGTCTGGCCCACAGTCAGGACAAATCTCTCTCACCTGCCAGTCCCACAGCCGCTCAGACCCAACCAAGTAAACACAGAAACTTATATTGCTTACAAACTGTATGGCCGTGGCAGGCTTCTTGCTCACTGTTCTTACAGCTTAAATTAATCCATTTCCATTAATCTATACCTTGCCACATGGCTCGTGGCTTACCAGCATCTTCACATGCTGTTTCTCATCGTGGCGGCTGGCAGTGTCTCTGACTCAGCCTTCCACTTCCCAGCTTTATTCTCCTCCTTGTCCTGCCTACACTTCCTGCCTAGCCAATGGCCAATCAGTGTTTTATTTATTGACTAATCAGCAACACATTTGCCATACAGACCATCCCACAGCACCTGCTCATGTTTGAGGATTCCCTGGGACAATGCTGCTGCTAAAGGCTCTGAAACAGGAGGTGTTACTGTTTAACTGGCCAAGAGCTTGAAGGTATTAATAAATAATTTTCTTCCCATTGATTTCTACATCTAACACCAAGAGATATCCTCCTAGCCACGGAGCTTCAGCACCTCCCCAGTAGTCCCAACCAAGAGGAGACCTGCTCCGTGTGGCAGGCAGGGCAGAGATACAGGTGCCCCTGCCCCTACCCAAATTCTTACTTACCTAGTCTGTGTAGGACCTACAGCTCACAGGGTAAACTAGCATTAGTGCCACTCTGCAGGTTGTGCCTAGAAAAGTCAGTGCTCTAAGCCTCAAGTGGCTCCTCCAGAACCATTCCCAGGAGGCCCTACCCAGAGGGTTTCCTGGGATGACAAGGTGTATCACTGGCACCAGGTCCTGCACAGGATCTCTGCAAAGGCTGTGGCCAATTCTGCTCACAATTTCCTTCTGTCTGTGAGGCCCCACCTCAGATCATGAAGGCTGCAGGTTTAGGCAAAGCTCTGTCTCCAAAAAGGTCTACAAGTCCAACACTGTATGTACAGCTGTGCCTCATCTTAGTGGTTCATGCTGGGGCCCAGAGTAAGCAGCTGGCTCTCATACAGGCTGTGCACCTCTGTCCTAGGCCACAACCCCCCTATTCCTAGAAATAGCACAGTGAACCTGGTGGCGTGCAGGTGCCAGAAGCATAGGATATGTGGAGCCATGCAGGCCATTAAGCAAGGGCTTGTCTCCATCTAAGCATAGGCAGGGAGTGCAGCCAACAGAGGAGGCACTGCCTCATCCAGCACCAGCCTGAGACTGCGGTATCTGTCTCCTCTACAGGCCTCCCTGTACTTCTGCTCTGGACTTAGCCCTGTGCCCTCGGGCAGAAAATGGGCTAGCACCGCCTTAGCATAGGAGCCCAGGCCTTGAAGGAGTGCTGTGGGGAAGAATGCTACTTCCCCCTAGTCCTGCACATCATCTCCATCCTGGGGACGTGGCTAGATCAGTATTTGGGGTTTTTTAGCCACCTAGTACCTCCAGCCACAGGGGAACAACATCCAGCTTAAGAAGTCCCCTGCCACTTGCCATATCCTGGTTAACTCTTCCTGGTCCAGCTGCTGGAGCTCCCAGGACAGAACTAGAGGACACAGAGGCTTGGAGGGCAACTGCATATATGCATCTCCATCTGTCCCAGGTCACACAGGGTCACCTCCAAGGTAGGCAGACTGGATATCCATCACCCAGGAGTCCTAGGATCACTAGGAGAGGTTGGAAGGCTCCACGGAAACCCGGTTTCATGATCACCACTCAATTCAAGTTCTTGGCAGGCTTGCTATAGGCTAAATGGGTGAATATCCCTCTAGCTCCCATGAGTTAAATTCCCATTTTGGCTGGACCTTCCTCAAGATCCAGGGCCTAGATACTGGGAAACAGCACTATATGGGCAAGACTGTGTCTGCCCACACTGCAAGAACTGCACCCGCACAGCCTTGAGGTACATCCTAGGCCTCAAGGAAGGGTAGCCTGGGCAGGGCCCTGCGGCAAGAAGCTGCCCTCCAGAATTCTTCCTATATCATGACCTGTAGAGTACTAGAGGGCCTCAGCAGCAGCCACAGTATCCTCCAGCTGCTGAAGCAGCTCCTCTGGCTGTGGTGAGAATGCCCTGGTGTCCACTCTCTGAAAGTCAGGATGTGTAACCACAGAGGCCAGCACATCTGCAAGGCGTCCAACATCAAATGCAGCCTGCTGCAGGCCCAGCCTTAGGCCTGTGCTGTCCCCTGTGTCCCCCTTCAGTCCTTGCCTCAGGACAAGAAGCCTCTTCTCAGCGATGACCTTGAGGAAATGGTAAAATTCTTCAAAATTGATCCCTGTACAGGACTTCATGATGACCTGGGCCAAAAGGGAAGGGCAAGTAAGCCCTGGGGTCACATCCAGACTCAGACTGCTCTGGTGTGCAAAGATCCCTCCCACACACCCAGGTGTCAGGGGCTAAGATGGGACCCAGAGACAAAGGTACAGAGCCAGGATAGTGGCCAGGAGGGTCTGAGTCACGAAGCCTGGCCCTGGCATCTGTACTGGACCCAAATCTGACTCGACATGGGCAGGTTGCGTCTCACCTGGCAGTGGTGGTGCCAGTCAGGCATGGAGTCCTTCCATTCTCTGACCTCCTGCTGTACTGCCTGGAGTTCTTGCTGCAAGAAGTGCCACATGTTAGCCAGGTTGCAGCCATTGACCCAGTTGTGGTTGATAGAGATGGTGTCGTCCTGGAGGGCAGAGGACAAGCTCCATGAGGCAACAGCAGGCATCACCTTTGGTGAGCAAATCAAATCCCATTCCATGTCCACCAGGCTCGGTGCTTTGGGCGAGTGTGATAGTTTTAACTGTCCACTTGACACAATCTAGAATTACTTGAGAAGATAATCTCAATGAGGAATTGTCTACATTGGATTGGCCTGTGGTCATGTCTGTGGGGAGACTGTCTTAATTGATGTGGGAAGACGCAGCTCACTGTGTAGCACCACCATTCCCTAAGCAGAGGGTCCTGAACTGTGTAAGAGTAGAAAAACTGAGCCAAGTACAAATAAACATAAATGCATTCATTTCTCTATTCTTGACTGTGGATGTGATGTGACTAGTCATTTCAAGTTCCCGCCTTGACTTCCCCACAATGATAAACTGTAATTTGGAATAAACCTTTTCTCCTCTAAGTTGCTTTTTGTCAGAGTAGTTTGTCACAGCAACAGAAATGAAAGAATAGTGGGCAAAGGTAGAAAACAGACACTCAGCCATGGCAGCCAAGAAATGCTGACCCCATCGCATGATGGGGTTAACACATTGGGATGAGAGAAAGAGGAACCAGCCGGGCAGTGGTGGTGCACGCCTTTAATCCCAGCATTCGGGAGGCAGAAGCAGGTGGTTGCTGTGAGTTCGAGGCCAACCTGGGCTACAGAGTGAGTTCCAGGAAAGGCGCAAAGCTACACAGAGAAACTGTCTCGAAACGCCCCCCTTCCCCTGCAAAAAAGAGAAAGAGGAACCAAGTTAGAACAGGGCTAGGGGATAAGTTCTCCATAGTCTCACTTGTGGCTTCCCTACCCTATCTTCAGCCCTTGCAGGGGAATAATACTGCCTTCTTTCTACACAGGCAGTTGGGGATGTAGAGGGAGAGAGTCTGGCAGAAGCAGGGTCATGTGCACTGCCTTACCAGGTTGTACACTTGATGGTGCCACCCGCTGGGCACAAATATCATCTCACCAGCCTCCTGTATGACTTCAAGGGGTAGGCTGCTGTGCTGGATCCTGGGATAGAGGCGAGTGTCCAGGAGCTCAGCGGAAGTCACGTCATAGGGCAGGTTACCGTGGCAGTCCCGAAGGGCCTCCTCCTGCCCTGGCGGGAAGAACAACCATTTCTTCCTCCCACAGATGTTCACTGACCAGCTGAAGGAGCGGAAGATATCCGCATGGAAGGGAGACCTACAGCAAGGGCTTTAGGTTTGTGTTGTGGAGTCCCGTGTGGACCCTGGTTTTTTTGATAGGCCTCTAGGCAGATGCCCTAGATGGTCACACCTCCCATCTCATCTTCACCAGGTGCCCAAGTCCCTTCTGTCATTACCAGGTGCCCCTGGGCCCCGCGTAGACAAAGCGGTAGTCATCCACATTGAGGACATCCCAGAACTCATTCAGCCAGTCTGATGAGAAGTACACAGGCAGGGTGAATATATCTTCCAGGTCATCCACCAAGGAGTCTCTGGGGAAAGCAGAGGAGCCACATAGCACTAATCTACCCTGAGCCCCATCCCAGCAGGCCCACCTACATCAAATGGGGCCACCTAAGATCACCCAGCCCTAGTGGCTCAGTTCAGAATGCTGAAGATAAAATGACTTGGGGGGCATCATGGCATAACCATGCCACTTAGGCAGTGGTCACTGGGATTCCAAACACAAGGTGAGCATCATCCCAGTTCCTGAGTTAATGGCCTCCTTCTTTTCTTCACCAATATTAGAGAGTGGAACACTACCTGGCAACTCCAGGCTGCAGCCCCAGGTGTGAGAGCCTCAAAACCCATCATTGGGTCCCCAAACACTGGATCATATTAACACTAGCCTCAGAGAAGGCACAACTCCCATCAACATCATGCTGGAAAAAGCTTCTAGACTCACGTGCGTGCCTGTAACTCCCAACAAGAAACAGAGATAGGCAGGGTCCCAGTAGCAACAAATTATCTGTAGGTCCCCAAACATCAGGACTGCCTGCCTTTGAGCACTCAGCAAACTCTTAAACACTGCTCAGGCATCACTTCCCCTGTGGCCTCCTGATTATGTGACTCCATGCCTTCTTCTGCCCTTTTTGGTTTCAGGGTCTTCCAGACAAAAGTATAATCAAACATAGGATTTAAATACAATGAACAATTTTTTAGCATAAATATGCCAGTTTAATATTTGGGAAATATTCATTACCCCCTGCAACAACAAAAAAACCCAAAACAAAACAAAACAATCCAACTCAAATGTTTACCTAAAATTTTAAACTACTACACAGGACAGCATTTAGGCCTGTGAGTCCATCTGTACCTGCTTCAACATTATACAGATTCAGGACCAGTGTCTAGTCATGCTTTACCCAGCTCCTGCATAGACCAGCTTTCTGCTTAAACAAGAAGTAGTATGACAAGGTAGCTGGAAGCTGGTGTTTCTTTTGTATCTGGTTAGCTGTGGAAATTGGGGGCCTGAATTCCATTCCATTCTACAGTTCTGAGTCCTATTTTGCACACAAGGGATACAGGAATTCACCTGTTCACTGTGCCTTCTGCTGGGGTTCTGAGCACAACAATCTGTGCTTGTGAAAGGCAGAGAAAACACCCAGTCCCAGGGCCACATGGAAAGAAGTGATGCTCTTCCCAAAGTGAGCATCATGTGGGCTGGGTCTTAGGTACAGCCCAAACTCCTCAGATGTAGTGGGCTTATGTACTGACATGTCCAAGTTGGAAATATGATAAATTTAAAAATGTACTAACAGCATGTGTTTAGATGCTCAAGACCTTAGCATCCCAAAAAGAAAAAGGCAGCAGTGTACCTAAATGCATGACCACTGTAGCTCAGCATAGCAATGCAGCATACTCTAGAGATGTGATCTTTTCAGTAGACCCATGGGTTGAAAGTGGGTATGGCTTCTTGACACTGTCCAACATGGAGGAAAGGGAAGGGGAAGAAACAGACCACATACGGCTAGCCTGGGAAAACAGCAAAATTCAAATCTTGAAGTAGTTTCTACCAAATGAACTGCACTCTTGCAACCATCACAAAGTAAAAAATCTCCTAAGTAAAGCTGTCATAAGTTGATGTGTGAGAAAAGAAGAGGCTAATCAGGGAGGGTGTTGAGTTCCTCTTTAAAGAATAAGGGATTTTCAAAGTGGGGCGAGAGCGGTTGTAGAAAGGTCACTTGCTCCTTTTGAGAGCCTAGAATGGGCCAGTGGACGGCAAGAATCCCCGGAACAACCGTGGAAGGAACAAACCTGTCCTCAGTGGGGTCAGCAGAGGGCAGTCCCAGAGGATCTGAGAGGAACCTGCTCAAACATTATACAGTAGAGGCCATACAAGATCTACACAAGACTTATTTTCCTCATGACAGTCCACCTGGGCTGGTATGGTAACCCTCCCAGGGAACCACCCTCCCACCAGTTTTGAGACAGACTAGAACTCTACTGTAGAGGTAACCCCTCTGAGTGCAGTAGGAATGCTCTACCAAGAAGGCCTGCACTTGCTGCTTAGGGAAAGGCCCCAGCAGCCATCCGCCGGCCTGCCCTATTACCTGCACAGGTGCCAGTCCTTGAGGTAGAGGCAGCCCCGCGGGGAGGAGCAACCTCCTTGGATGTACTCCTTCCAGTAATCGATATAGTCACGGAAGGGCATGTGCTCCTTGGGGTTTGAATTGTATTCCCGCACTCCACAGTTGGCAACCGGTACAACCACGTCTCCTGCAGCGAGAGGGTCGGCACAGAAGTGGCAGAGTCATACTGTGTAGTTTCATCCCCTTGGGTTCCGGCCACCCTCTGGGCGAATTATCCAGGTCCCACTCGTCTGTCTGGTCCTGGCCACCCTCCCATCCCGGGGTCTACGCCTCCCGTCTGCTCCGAGTTCCCCAGGTCAGTCCGCCTGCGCCCTACCATACTTCTGCAGCAGATACTCGAAGTCAGGCTTCCCCGCCGACGTCACCCACCGCCGGCGGCTGCCCCAGCCCTCGGTGAAAGCGCTGGAAAACACGCAGGGCTGGTTAGGGAGCAGGAAGCCCTTCACGAAGTCAGCGTAGGAGAAGGCGTCCGGCGCCTGAATGAAGGTCACACTGCTGGGTGCGGGCCCGCTGCAGCCAGCGACGCGGCCCCCGAGGCCCCGGTAGTGCCGCTCGGCAAAGAGGCGGGTCTCTCGATCCATCCACCGGGGAACCTGACCCCGGAGGCCCAGCTCTGCTCCTCACTACACTCCAAATGGGGAGCGGAGGCCGAGAAACCTCCTAAGACGAGTTTGGATCAGAACCCACGGTAAAGGAGCCCGGAACCAGACACCAGAGGGGCAGCATTCCAGCAGGAACTCAAGCCTTGGCGCTCCCAGCATGTGCGCGTGCGCCCTACGCAGTCCCGCCCTCCCGCGCAGGCGCACGAGCGCTCGCCCAGTGGTGGACCGGCTTCCCAGCTGCTGGCGTCTGTGTTTGGTGGTCTAGTGGCGCTTGCCACAGCGTCTTCCGCGCGCTCCTCTTTCCTCAGGTGAGCGGTACTGCTAACGCGCAGCTAGGCAGTCCTCGAGCCCGCCACCGAGACTGGAGATGAACATGAGTCCCAAACCTTAGGGGATGACAGAGTCCTGGTGGGGTGCGGAGCGGAGGGTGAGGATCCACGGGGCGTGGTGAGGCTCCTGAGTCTCCGGGATAGGTTGAGGGACCTTTCCAAGAATTGTGATGTTTACCTAGAAATAGAAAGGGACAAATTAGAAGGGAGAAAAGTGAGTTTTAGGAGATTCTGAGGTTCAGGTAGAGAGGTGTTGATTAGGAAGAGGCAAGGGTAGAAACAGGAGGCAGAGGATTGATTGTTTGATCTAATTCTCCCATTGTGGACCTCATTGTGACTCTTTGGTCAAAGTATGGAACTCTGTTGCAGCTAGGTCATGGTAGGAGATGACAGCTCATAGAGAAATTCAAGTGGAGAGAAACACATAACCTTATGCCAGGACTCGTGGTGCACGCCTTAATCTCAGCATTGGGCTGCTGAGGTAGAAAGATCCGAGGGTTCTAGGACAATTTGAACCACAAACCAAGACTTGTCTCAAAAAGAAAAAAAAAAAAGCCAGAATACAGTAACAACAATAAAACCCCAAGTCATCCAAAAATTCCATTAAATCATTAAAGCTTCTGGTATCAAGCCTGTTTTTCCAGGTATACATGAATTTATACATTTTATTCCTGTTCCCTCCTCCATCTCCTGGAGTTCTCTTCCTTCTTTTCCTACATTGGCAGTATGTTATATGTGGAAACATCATTTTAGATCTTTAATCTACTTCTTGGCATACAGTTCTTAAAATTCTTGGACTACCTGAGGGTATAAATGCTGTTTTGCATGCTAAAGAGCCCAACACCATTCAGCATCCACTAGGGTAGATTCCAGGTGGAGCTGGTAACTGAAAACCTGAACAGGATCAGAGGGTGGGGGACTTTGAGACCAGACCTCAGCCTCTAGGGCTGAAGGTTAAGTAGGTCATCAACGACCAGTGTTTAATCAGTCATGCCCATGTAATGAAATGTCCAGAAAATCCTTAGACGACTCATTTAGAGGATCCTGGAGAGTGTGCCTAGGGAGAACGTGGGCAGGGTGTTCTCCTACTTGACCTCTTGCATCTTTTTATACCCCGTGTAATGTCCTATGTCCTTTATAATAAAACAGTAAATGTAAGTTAGTGCTTCTCTGAGTCCTGTGAGCTTCTGGGGGAAATCCAACTCAAGGAGGGCTCTCTGGGACCCTATTTATAGGTGCTGGTCATCAGAAAAAGAGGTGACAAGGCCTGGGCTTGCATCTGCACTCAAGTAGGGACATCTTGGGAGATTGAGTCCACAACCTTGGGATCTGATGCAGTCTTCAGGCAGACATTGTCAGAGCTGAACTGAATTAAAGGACGTTCTTCTGGTGTCCACTGCTGACACTTAGGGTCCCAGAATTCTATGCTACGACGTGAGACTAGAGGTAAAATAAGCAGTTTGTTTCTCCATAAAAGATGAAAAACCCAAGTAGGAATTGCTTCTTTACCTGTGTATCTAAGACCGGTGTCCCCGAGGAAGAGGTCAGGGCCAGCAGGTATATATGCTGTCATGGTCTCTGGGGCAACACAGCCCCTAACGCAGTAACTGGGACATGAGCTCCCGGTCCTATTTAGTTAATGCTGTAATTCTGGTCTTCACATGGTGGCCTCTGGGTGTTAGAAACATTGTCGAATATGTGAGGCCTGGAGAGAGGCCTGAAACACAGGTGTGTGTGTCCACCAAGTTGCCTCTCCTGCTCCCCGCTGGGGGCTGCTAGTGATGCATATCCTCTGCCCACACAGACCTATGGAAACTGCGCATCCTGGGCAGAGCCACCCCAGAAGAAAACAGGAAAGGACTGGAGTTGGCACTCTAGAGGAGATGAGGTAGAAACAGTGGATGGTCTCATTTCTCTCTGAGTATCTAGAGCATGCCCTGCAGCTAGGCTGTGGTGTTTGAAACATCCTCAGAAGCATGGCTGAGCCTCCCAGGGTGGAGATGGGAACTTCTGAGGGAGTGGAAAGAGGGTCTGCTACAGAGCAGGAGGGCAGGTAATGGAAAAAGCCAGTCTTACCGCCCCCGCTTGGACACACTGCCCCACTGTTCTCCCTGCCAGCCTTGTAGTGGAAGGTGTGCAGAATGTTGTGTGCTCTGTTACTTTGGAAATTAACTAAAAATAGGCTGTTTACTTGCTATTGAGTTTTACTCAAGGGCACATGTGTGATGGAAATGCTGAAAGAGACCCATTATGCCAATCCCAGTGTGTTCGGAGTCACAGTCAAGTGACGTGGGCCTATTCCCCAAGAACGTCATTTATGTGAATTAGCTTGACACCCAGGGATTGCCTGCCATGACTTCCCACGATAATTGTGCCTTTCACATGAGGGTCCACATAGGGCTCCTACTCTACCTGTACTGGTGTAGGCAAATTAACCTAACAAAGGTAGACACCAAACAAAGAATTCGGGAACAGAGCATTTCTGGAGGGCCCACTCGGTATGTGTGCACCAGGTGCCCATGGAGTGGACAAGGCTCGTGCACAGAGCAGGTTACCTTTGGAAAGCTCTCTGAGGTATGGTAGTGCTGTGGTTGGTGGTGGGCATTAGGAAGGGCAGAGGTGCCGTTTAAGCAGAAGCTTCAAAGTGGAGAGCAATTCCATCAGGGATGGGAAGGAAGGGGCCACAGGATGAAGCTCAGAGCCCTGGTAGACTGGTCGGAGTTGGGTATGTTTTCTATGATTTGTTTTGCTCTCTCCCCAATTCTCCCAGAACTCAGGGCCTACCATATGCCAAGCAAGTGCTTTACCCTCAGGGATCCTATATTCAGAAGAGTTTTTGGCGGAAGCATGACATTTCCTAACTCTCTTTCCTGACTGAAGGGGCAGGATGAAGGGAGAAGGTCCTGGAGGGGTTGTGCCAATAAAGAGTGACACCACACTTGAGAAGGTATCATGGAGAGCTGTTAGTGTTGCCAGATGGGAATCAGCCTGTATCCTAAGCCAGGTCTGAATAGAGCCAGATTAAAGGTGGAAAGCAGAAAAAGGAGATTTATTCGATGTGGCCACATTGGGAAGAGGGACAAAGAGATCCAGTGAACCCCCAAGTCCTGGAGTGAGATTAAATAGAAGGCCAAATATTTGCATATCTAAGCAGTACAGGTGTGGCCCCACATTAACCCATCTTTGATCTTCCGTCTCCTGTAAGGTGGTCTAATAAGTTGTTAGAATCACGTGAGATCTCTTTCTGGGAGACAAGTTCCCTCTGACTAGTGCCCTTTCCTTTTCCCAGCTGGAGATTCCAGGGGAGATTCCCATCTCTTTGGGGTCCATTGTTTCAATACCCTGGTGATAGTCAGCATGAGAGACACAATTGTCTCTTTAAAGTCTCTTCACTTTTGCCAGGCCTAGTACATTAGGATTTGCATATGGGCTTAGGAGGATGAGGAAGAAAGGGGTCTAGAAGGACTCTTGGTTCCAACAGAGCTTTTGTAAGAAGAAGAAGCACGCAGCCAGGGCCTAGTACAGTATGAGGTACCTAACAGATGACCGAACAAGGAGTGGTGATGGGGCTGGGCTGGTTGGAGACGCCTGGTAGGCGTGTCATAAAGCCGCCCAGCGGGCAGCCAGAAGTCCGGGTTGAAGCCTTGAGAGCTCACGGGCATGACAGATGTGGTTGGGTGAAGTTGGCCTTGTCACGGTACTCTTAAGCCTTTGTGTCATACTGGGGGCAGGAATTGGAGGGGGTGATGGCGTCTGGGGGAGGGAGGAAGGGTGGTGTGTGTTTTAACCTGGAGATTTTCGTTGTTGTTTTTGGTTTTTCAAGACAGGGTTTCTCTGTGCTGTCCTGGAACTCAGTCTGTAGACCAGGCTGGCCTTGAACTCAGAGATCTTCCTGCCTCAGCCTCCCTAAAGATGTACACCACCACTGCCCAGCTTAACTAGGAGATTTTTAATAGGCTTGTGGACTAATGATGTTGTCAAGGAGAATTCCTGGGAAGTTGTGTCTGATTAAAACTATAGTGACGTGGAGAGGTTGGAAAGTTGCCAGGAGCTAATTATCTTATCTCGGGCCCACTTTAGCCACGTGACTAGCCATTCCTTGCCCACCTCCGTATTCGTAACATCCTGTGACTAAGACTAAAAACCTCTGGCATCTAGTAACTTAGCAAACCACTAGCTTCTACCAATCCAAAGGCTAAGAATGTCATCGGACAGCATCTGAGGCCTGTAGAAAAGCTTTCTCCATCTTGCTATAACTACCTCTCTGATGAACCCACCAAAGTGTTTTACATTTGCTTGATTGACGACTTTCTTTATTCTGTAAAACTGTAAAACTTGATGAAACTGCTTGCACTTTGGACCCTGGAATTGGGGGTGACCTACATCTGTGTCGCTGGGCCATGGTCACTCAACATGGTTCTAGAAGAAACCTCTGTTACTCCATTTAAGATGAGAGCTGTGCTTTTTGTGTTGACAAATGAGATTGGCCACAACCTGTAGTCCATGTCCGGTTGCCAGAATTGTGTAGATGAAGTTTATTGGAATAGCCATACCTCTTGGTTGATGGGTCACCTGTGGTGGTTAGTGACCATGACTAAGACTCATGGCTTCTCAGCCTGAAGTACTTACCACATGGTCCTACACCAGGTTTGTAGACCCAGTGCAAAGAAGAGTGAAATCAGTGATTCTGAGGAGCAGAGGTTGGGTGGAGGACCCTGTGAAAGATCTGGCTTCAAGGGGAACAGGAGCCCCTTCTTGAGGACTCTGTGGGGGGCATGTCAGTCTAGGCAAGGTCATGGGGTCTAACCACACATGGGCAGCTTCTGCTGCATGGGTGGGAAC